CGATGTCATAACTTCAAATGAATTTACGTGTCCATTATCCTGCACTGAAGTATTTGGATTTATTGTATCAGGTAAATAAAGTGGAGACGATGTCGTAACTTCAAATGAATTTAAGTGTGTATTTATATTATTTTTTTATTTGAGGAAAATTCGTCATTTTGAGTTGATATTTCAACAAAATCTTGTCGACTCAAAGATTCGTTAGGAATAAGTTGTTGTAAGTATTGAAAATTAATTTTGCCTCTGGGCGATTAACAGGATCGTTATCCCAACATTTTTTGTAAAGCTCAATATATTGAGATAGTGTACCTTCTATAGGATCTTCTCTATTTCCTTGAGTTATGTGGTAGCAGAGTGCCATTATAAATTCAAAGTTTTGGAATGGTGGTCTTCCGCTTGAAATCTCCCAAAGAATCACACCAAAGCTATAGATGACAGATTTCTTATTACGTTTGTTTTTGGGATCGCTAAAGCATTTAGGATCGATATACGCTGGCATTCCATGAACTATGGAGTTTGAAGTCATTGACATTTCATTCAACTGCTTTGATAGTCCAAAATCTGCAATCTTTGGCTGCTTTTCATGAATTAAGATATTCTTTGAGTGCTAAATTATTAAAGCATTAGTTAACTACTAGTAAATATACAGTGAAATTGGATTAATTATAGAATACATACTAGGTCTCTATGAATAATATCATTATCATGTAAGAATAAGAGTCCAAGCGCTATTTCCTTAGCGAAACATAGTTTGTCAGTCCATTGTAATTTTGTAAAATTTGCAATTAAGTAATCTCTCAAATTTCCGTCATTAGCATATTGTAAAAGCATATTATAATATCCGTCGTTATCTATTTATTTACATTAGATAATAATTGTTTTTATTTAATATCAAAATTATTTGATATCCTCAAAGCTGTAAGCTGAAAGTTTACCTTTCGTAATTCCATAGAATCTAATAACATTTTGATGGCAATCAACTCTTCGTAATAACTTAAGCTTTTATTGCACAATTATAAAAGTTTAATAGTATAATGGAAAGTATATCATATCACAACATAAATACCTCATTAATAAAGTCCTTAACAAGTTTTTCATTTAAACTTAAATCGGTATTAAATTTAAGACATTTTAGAGCAACTATTAATCCGTAGTCTTTCCATTCGAATCTAAAAACTTTTCCGAGACCTCCGGAGCCAATCTCTGTAGGGTTTGTAAATTTGCTATATTCAAAATAATTAATATGTCCTTCGGAAACTGCTTTTTCAAGCCATTCTACTGTTGTATTTGTCGAGGAAATTCATATGTATATCAGTATATATAGTTATATGTAAGTACTACATAGCACAAATGCACCAAATTTAAAGTTTGTTAAACTGTCGGAATTATTGCGCATTAATCGAAATCATATTATTGCTAAAATAAATGGGAAAATAAACTAAATTCATCCTTATATTTATTCTTATTTTCTATTATATGCATAAATAAATGTAAAAATAACAAAACCATCATCGAATAGTGATTGTCCATAGTGTTGAAAGGTAATGACTAACTTGCTAAAGAGAAATATAGGGTAGCATTGATTAAATAGTGAAAAGCAGAGCTTTAAATTATGTCAAGTGATGCTTGTTGTTTTTCCATATAAATTTACAATTAAAAAGCCCGTATTTAATATAATTGAATTTATGCTTATGTGATAAATACTTAATTTACGTATGTGCATTCAACTGAAATATTCAAATTTATACAAACTTTTATGGTTGTTTAATAATTAAGTAAATTTTTTTGAATTTAATAAAGTGGTTCATAATGACCACCTAGTATCGGCACCAAAATCAGTTACGTATAACAGAACTTAAATTTATTGCCGATATTAAAATTAAAATTAATGATTAATTCAATAATGACAACATTTGATCAATAATATATATGTAAGAATAATAATAATAATTTACGATAAAAATTTTATTTATTTGAATATTTTAATACAAAATATTTTCTAAATTATAACACACAACTTTATTCATCTTGTCGAATTACGAAACCAAAAAACTGCATTTCAAAATAATGTTTTATGTGTAAATGGAAGCATAAAACAGAAACGTGAGGATCAAAATAATGATATTCACAAGCAAAAAGAAAATCCGAAAAGCTTGAAATATATAGTTTATGAAAACTTATGGATGTTTAGAGAAAGCAATATGTATATGAATCTTGAGATAGTTGTAGATATTTCCCAACCAGTTAACGAATAGAAGTAAATAACATAAATGAAGCTTTTGCAAGTTCGTTGTCATTCATTATATTATGGTTTAAAATTTTTAAATCTAATATTACGGTATATTAATTTAGATACAATGCAATTCCCAATATCCTCTCACATTACGGAAGCTAAGGAAACTTTATGGAAAAATATTCGAATATCAACCTTAATCAATTACACACAAGTCGATTTAATGATCGATCTGGTAAATTCAGAAACCAAAATATAGATAATAAAGAATCGAGTACTGAAGATAGCGAATCTGAATCTGAAATTTACTCTTCATGAGGTATAAAATTTTTTTCATTATATTTCCATATTTAAATAAATTTATTTATTAATTTTATGTTTTAGCCGCTTGAATGTCTTGAAAAGCCAAATAATTTTCCCAAACAAAAAACATGCCTTCGAAAGAATTGAATCGAACTTTAAACCTATTCAAAAAAATAGTAGATGACATTAAGAATTTTGAACGAGCAAAAAAGCTTGTAGTTGATGTAACAAAGTACCTTTTATTAATAGCATAAAAAATTCAAATTTGAAGCTTTATACGTGTATTAATAAAATTCGAATTTGGATGAAAATTCATTCTATACATTTAATTGAGTGCAATTTGATTATATCAATTAAATAAATTCTAATAAGTTGAATAAATATCATAATATTAAAAAAAATCTTGCGATCTCGTGATTCTATTATTGCGCGCAGATTGAAATTTAAAAAACGATTACGTAACTGATTATGGTGGCGATACTAGGCGCGTTGGTTCATAATCCACTGGACAATTCTATTTTTCCCCGGGTCAAAGTGATACATCACATGACAATATGCCCAAGAACCTTGAACGAAGATATTTTCACAACCATCAAACCAAATTCAATATACCATTTTTTAATTTGAATTCTATGGATTAGTAGAACTTGAATAAAAAATTTTTCATCAAATTTGGTCAGTTAATTATCGAGATATCATCGCTAAAAGTTAAAGAAAAATCAAAATGCCTATAAAATAGAAGTTGCACCAAATTTTTCTTTAAATTTTATCAAAGATATCTCTACAACAATCAAACCAAATTCGATAAACTTTTTGTTTGAATTCTATGAATTCACAGAATTCGAATAAAAAAACTTTCATTGAATTTATTCAGATGTTCGTCGAGATATCTTCCTCAGAGTTAGAAAAAAATCAAAATGCCTAAGCTGCACCAAATTCTTTTCAAAGCTTTGATCGAAAATAACTTGGCAACTATCAAACCAAATTTGATAACCATTTTTTATTTGAATTTATGGATTCATAGAATTCGAATAAAAAAATTCTTATTAAGTTTAGTCAGGTGGTAGTCGAGATATCTTTGCTCAAAGTTAGAAAAAAAAATCAAACCGTCTATCAAAATACAAGCCAATTCTTTAAAACATTGTATTTAAATCTTATGGGTTTATAGAATTTTAATAAAAAAATTTTCATCGAATTTAGTCAGGTGGCTGTTGATATACCCTCGCTCAAGATTAGAAAAAATCAAAAATCCTATCAAAATTGAAGCTATGCCAAATTTTTCTCTAATTTGAGCAAAGTTATCTCGGCAACCACTTGACTAAATTTGATGAAAATTTTTTTATTTGAATTCTATAAATCCAGAAATTCAAGTAATTAAAAGTTATACCGAATTTGGCTTAATGGGTGTCATGATATCTTCGTTCAAAATTAGAGAAAAAATATGGCGCAGCTTCTAACTTTTTAGTTAGGTTTTTTGATTTTTCTTTAACTTTGAACGAAGATATTTCGATAATTACCTGACTAAATTCGATGAAATTTTTTATACTAATTTTATAAATCAATAATATTCAAAATTTTGAAAATTCTTAGGTATATGGTCATGTGATGGATTACTTTGAAGGGAGGAATGACTTTGGTAAAGGCTCTTAGTGAAAATAATAATACTTTATCCACCCTGGACCTTCGAAACAATTATTTTGATCATGATATGCTAAATGACTTGGTAAAAGCTCTTGGAAAAAAGTTTATTTTAGGTTTGGATGATTGTAATGAAGAATGAATTTCATACGATTTTTCTATATACTGATACTGTAGCGCACATAATAATATGTAGCTTTGCATCTTCAATTGATTATTGTTTAGTCACATTCGTAGTTTGAAAATATACACGAACTTTGATATTGAAAATATTATTATACGATAAGTATGATTGCTTTCATTTCTTTTATTAACTATTGACATCTAAAAATATATATTTGTGAACCTACGTATAAATAGCCTAAAAACTAATATTCCTGCCGCAAATAATACCTTTGGCTTCAAAAAAACAGAAGGCAATTAAATCGTAAATTTTGAAACAAGCTTTATTTTAGCGCATTATTTACTTTATTTTTTGCAATATTCAAACATTAGAATTTGCATGTCCGTAATCATTATGTTGATAAATAGAAATTTATTAGTTTCGAAACAAATTCCGAATTGATTCCATAATTTTAAAATTTACAGATATAAGTATGTAATATGTGTATTAACGAGTTATACATATTAAGGTGTATCTGGATTTAAAAAAAAACCCCCAAATAGCGTATTTTGGAAATAAATGTGATCCTATTGTGTTTCAAAATTTTTAAATAAGAAAGTGAAATGGGAGTGTTTAAAGACTCCCATTTGACCTAATACAATTAATTAGTAAATTCTTATTGATCACATTGTCAGACCCGGAAACGGCGAGTCTGTCGCTAAATCGAAAGGAGGTCCGTGTAACCAAAACCTAGGTTACTTTAGGGTCGAAAGAGGCGTGTTAGATTTAGTCGAGTGGTATAGTGTAGTTTGGGACAGAACCAGGGTTTAATATAGTTTAGGCAGGGTTCGTAACGAAGGTGTATATTAAACGTTAGGTTTGATATACGAAACTTAGAAGTGTATAATTTTATTAAGAGTAATTAATCAAAATACGAAACGCATGGATTTATTAATAGTGATAGTATGATATAGGGAAATAATTGTATGATAAAAAAAATGATTTTATAAAGCAAAGGTGGGAGTTGTTTTTCCCCCAGGGCTCAAAGGCCTTTATTTATAATTAAATCTTTATTTACTTTGTGCATGCAGAATTCGCCGTTTCCCCCAAAATTACCCTATTATTGAAATTCGCCTTATTCCCGTTTTTCGCCTAATTCTAAAAATTCACCGAATTTCCCTGGAATTCCTGCGTAAATCCAAATTTGGAGTTCCCGGGTCACGCGGCCACGTGCCTGCGGTCAGGTCACGTTTCCGGTGGTCTCACAACATAAATGATTCGTCACATCCCTGTGCCAAATGGATGGGTCACCTATAATTGACCGAATCCATTTTAAATTTACGCCATTTTATTCAATTAAATCTAATTTGTTACACTTTATATTGATATACTGTTAAATTAAGATTGTTTGATTTTAAGGTAAAGCCAATATTGTTCTCGCTAAGTTGCAAATCTCTCAGTGTGGTGTATTTGCAAAGTGCATCTGATAATGCTTTTCCTCCTTCTGGCCCAAGGTTATTCTTTTCAAGATCCAAATAAGTTAGTGTAGTGTTTTTGCAAAGTGCATCTGATAGTGCTTTTCCTCCTTCTGGTCCAAGATAATTGCCAGAAAGGTCCAAAATTTTCAGTGTAGCGTTTTTGCAAAGTGCATCTGATAGTGCTTTTCCACCTTCTGGTCCAAGATTATTATTTTCAAGATTCAAAAAAGTCAGCGTAGTGTTTTTACATAGTGTATCTGATAATGCTTTTCCTCCTTCTGGTCCAAGATTATTTTCCCAAAGAATTAATGAAGTCAGTGTCGTGTTCTTGCAAAGCGCATAAGCTAAAGCTTTTCCTCCCTCTGAATTTAGTTTATTTTGTCCAAGATCCAAAGAAGTCAGAGCGTTGTTCTCGCAAAGTGCATTTGCAAATGCTTTTCCATCTTCTGTCTCAAGATCATTCGAACCAAGATCCAATGAAGTCAGTGCAGTATTCTTGCAAAGTGAATCTGCTATTGCTTTTCCCCCTTCTGATCCAAGATTATTATTATAAAGATTCAAAATTTCCAACGTAGTGTTCTTGCAAAGTGCATCTGCTAATGCTTTTCCTCCTTCTTATCCAAGTTTATTATTATAAAGATTCAAATCTCTCAAAGTAGTGTTCTTGCAAAGTGCATCTGCTAATGCTTTTCCACCTTCTGATCCAAGTTTATTATCTTTTAGAATCAAAATTTCCAATGTAGTGTTCTTGCAAAGTGCATCTGCTAATGCTTTTCCTTCATCTGATCCAAGGTCATTATAACCAATATTCAAAGAAGTTATTATAGTGCTCTTGCAAAGTGCCTTTGTTAACTCGTTTATTTTTTCTGACTCACATTTATGAAAAGAAAGTTCCCAAGTTGAAGCGTTTCTTTGATCTTCATGAGTATGCCACCTTTTTTTGAGAATTTTTTCATAAAATTCTAATGCTTTAAGAAATTTTCCTTGCTTAAAACATTTCTTTGCTTCCTTTCTCATATCCTCAAGAGTACTATTATCCTGCGTTAAAGTATTTGAATCTATTGTATCGTGTAAATAAAGTGAAGACGATGTCATAACTTCAAATGAATTTACGTGTCCATTATCCTGCACTGAAGTATTTGGATTTATTGTATCAGGTAAATAAAGTGGAGATGATGTCGTAACTTCAAATGAATTTAGTATTTATATTATTTTGTTTATTTGAGGAAAATTCGTTATTTTGAGTTGATATTTTAACAAAATTTTGTCGACTCAGAGATTCGTTAGAAATAAGTTGTTGTAAAGTATTGAAAATTAATTTTGTCTCTGGGCGATTAACAGGATCGTTATCCCAACATTTTTTGTGAAGCTCAATATATTGAGATGGTGTACCTTCTATAGGATCTTCTCTATTTCCTTGAGTTATGTGGTAGCAGAGTGCCATTATAAATTCAAAGGTTTGGAATGGTTGTCTTCCACTTGTAATCTACCAAAGAATTACACCAAAGCTATAGATGTCAGATTTCTTATTACGTTTGTATTTGGGATTGATAAAGCATTTAGGATCGATATACGCTGGCATTCCATGAACAATTGAGTTTGAAGTCATTGACATTTCATTCAACTGCTTTGATAGTCCAAAATCTGCAATCTTTGGCTGCTTTTGATGAATTAAGATATTCTTTGGGTGCTAAATTATTAAAGAATTAGTTAGCTACTAATAAATATACCATGAAGTTGAATTAATTATAATATACATACAAGGTCTCTATGAATAATATCATTATCATGTAAGAATAAGAGTCCAAGCGATATTTCCTTAGCGATACATAGTTTGTCAGTCCATTGTAATTTTGTAAATTTGCATTTAAGTAATCTCTCAAATTTCCGTCATTAGCATATTGTAAAACCATATTATAATATCCGTTGCTATCTATTTGATTAGATAATTTTATTGTTTAATGTAAATATTAATCGATAACCTCAAAATTATAAATTGCATGTCACACCTTTAGTAATCCCGTAGAACCTAATAATATTTTGATGGTAATCAACTTTTCGTAATAGTTTAAGCTTTTATTACAATTATAGAAGTTTAATATTATAATAGGAAGTAATTCAAGTCATAATAACATAAATACCTCATTAATAAAGTCTTTAATAAGTTTTTCATTTAAGCTTAAATCGGTATTGAATTTAAGACATTTAAGAGCTACTATTAATTCGTAGTCTTTCCATTCGTATTTAAAAACCGTTCCGAAACCTCCGAAGCCAATCTCTGTAGGATTTGTAAATTTACTATATTCGAGGTAATTAATGTGTTCGTCGGAAACTGCTTTTTCAAGCCATTCTACGGTTGGGTTTGCCATAACTTTTGTAAGTAGTCGTACATACATATGTTGACGAGGAAATTCATACGTATATCAGTATATATAGCAGATAGTTATATGTAAGTACTACGTAACACAAAATTTTAAGTCGGAATTACTGCGCATTAATCGAAATCATATAATTGCTAAAATAATAGTGATAATAAACTAAATATATTTTTATATTTATTTATTATTTTCTATTATATGCATAAATAAATGTAAAATAACAAAGCCATCATTTAATTATGGTCTGAAAGGTAATACGCATGTAAGAAACTTAATATTTGATATGCAATCGCATAATGACTAACTTGCTAAAGAAGAAATGTAAAGTAGAATTGTATGATGGAATCGATATTGATTAAATTGTGAAAAGCAGAGCTTTAAGAAAATACAATATAGTGTATTGTATAAATCTTATATGTAAGTAATTATTGACATTGTCCTATTCAATTCGAAACTATAGTTGTTAGGCTCATTTCACGACTTATATCAAATTATGTCAAGTGATGCTTGTCATTTTTCCATTTAAAAAATTATAATAGCATTTATGCCTAAATCATAATACTGAACTTATGCTTATTCAACTAAAATATATAAAAATTATCGCTTAAAAATTTTTTTAAAATTCTTAAGTAATATGAAATATTTGTTTTCGAATTATAAAGAAGAGAACTTGAGAAAAGATCATAAAAACTTGATATTTTTTTACTAATAATAAGATATCGATCTAATTCAATTGTTTGCAATATTTCATTCATCGATTTCCTTTTCTTTATGTTTTTAATATGTAATTGGAGATCAGAAATATAAATTTATAAGAAGTCTCGAAAGAAAATTCATGATCATTAAAAGTATTAATTACTATTGTTATTATATAAATAAGCTTACAAATCAAGATAAATAAGATTTATGACCCATTGATTTCGAAATAAATACATCTATAATTTAATTCGAAATCAGAACCTGCTGAATCACCCTAATTAATTATTTTTCTGCAAGAGCATAACATAGTTCTACAATTAGTTTTTTATACAATGACAAGAATCAGTGCGTGATTTTTAGCTTAAGCCAATTCTAAAATCACAAATCGTACTGCTGCTTTTTTATCAAAAATTTAAGTAACTCACTCATCTCAACCAAGTAAATTATTTATTACACTTTGCAAAAAGCCATTCGAAAATTAATTTGTAGATTTTACAAATTCAAATAAATATAAATATAATAAATCAATGATATGTTT